CCCAGCCCGGGCGCCGGGTCGCCGCGGGGCTGGGGGCTCTCGGCGCCCGTGTGCGTGTACTCCAGGTAGACGTCGGACTTGAGGAAGGACGGGTAGGTGTCCTCCTCCATGCGGGACTGCACCTCCATCTGCGCCTGCTCGAACATGGCGGGGTCCAGCTGCTGCCGGGCCACGCAGTCGCGGATGAAGCTCTTGGTGGCCGGCTTGGTCTGCCGGGACACGATGCCGCTGCTGTCCAGGATGTACTTGCGGTAGATGGCCTTGGCCAGCTTCAGCCGCTTCTCCTCGTTGGAGCCGCAGGGCTCCAGCTTCCGGAAGCCGCTGCAGGCGAACCAGAAGTCCAGCAGGTCGGCGCAGCGCTCCTGCCGCAGGAAGGCCCGGAACAGCCGGATGCCGTCCTGGTCGTCCAGCAGCGAGTGCAGCGACTCCGCCCAGCGCAGGTGCGGCGGCGTGGGGGAGGCGCTGCCCTCCGGCTCGTAGCCCAGGTCCAGGTCCGAGCGCCTGGGGGTGGCGGCCGGCGCCTCGGCCTTCCCGGGGCAGAAGCCGTGGCCGGCGGGCCTGGGGTCGGCGGGCGCCAGCTCGCCCTCCTCGCCGGGCACGGGGGGCCGGGGGGCATCTTCGGTGAAACTGGCTCCGAGGTCCAAGGGGAGCCCCTGACCCTGGACGCTCATGTTGGGGCTCAGCGCGTCAGCGGCCAGCGAGCGGCGCGCCGAGGACGTCAGCACCCAGAGCTCCCGAGAGGGTCAATCTGCCCTGTTGGGACCATGGAGAGGACGAGGGTTAGGACGGGTCCCGGGAGCTCTGCCCAGCGGCCTGGGGTGGCTCCCACCTGCGGGGGGGGGGGGGCGTGCTGGGCATGGCGCAGGGACCAGCTGCCTGGCGAGAACGGGGCTGTGCAGCCCGCCCGGCCCCAGGGGGGCAGGAGGAGGGGACCCGACCCCGGAGGTGTGCAGCCGGCAGCCGGGACAGGCTCCCCTGCGCCCCCCAGCAGGCCGGCAGGAAACGTCCTGGGAGGCCCGACGGCGCTGGGCACCCAGCCTGGACGCTCCCTCCCTAGCTCCGGGAGCTCACATGGCCACCGCGGCACCCGGGGCCAATGTGCCCCTCGAGCTCAGCGCAGAGCCCGAGGACAACCATAGCACGTGGGGGCGCCTGGTGGACTGGGCCATGGCTCTGAAGGGCGAGCGGCCAGGCCGCCCAGCCCTTACTCTACCCGCAACCTCACGGGGCCTGACCGGGGGGCCTGGCCCCAGATGTGCTATTGGCCTGGAACAAGCGCCCGGTGCTGAGAACCAGGCTGGCGGGCACCCCTGCCTTCCTCGCAAAGACCTGGCCCCGCACCCCGGTGACCAGGGTCACTGGCGAGGGGCCCCCTCAGCGCCTGCCCGCCTGCCAGTGCCCGAAGCTCGGCCGCCTGCCCCGCCCCCCTCACCAGCGGCCGCTGACAGAGCCCCGCGGCCCACCCACGGCCGAGTCACCGCCGGGACACTCAGTGTCCACCTCGGGCTGTCGGGTGCCCGCACCAGGCAAGGCGCCTCCCCTCGGTGGGCCTGGCCCCCCGGTGCCAAGGGCAGGGGCATTTCCCGGCTTTCCCGCAACCGGAGGCAGAAGCTCCCGCTGCTGAAGGCCAAGCACCTGCTGCGGGGTCCCCGCGCCTGACGCTGGCCCGCCCCAGGCCTGCGCTCCGGGGACAGGGCATGCAGGGAGCCGGGCGATGGCAGGGCACGGGGGTCCC